GTTGAAATTGAAATGCATGTGTGAAAAACAAAAGTTAACTAACGGAGAGTTTTGCTCGGGATTGAGAGCTTCGCCCTTCTCTTTCAAGCAAGGGGCAGTGTCACGTGCTCTTTCCTCCAAAAACACAATTCTCTTAACTAAAAATAAAGTAAAGGCAAAGTAAAGATAAGCTAAGTGCTGGATTTTTATAAATTTGAATAGGTAGAAAATAACTAAGTAACAACGGAAACAAAACAAAGCTCAATAAAGGAATGTAAAGTGCTYGGGATTTAAAAACTAAAAGCAACTAATGAAAGCAACTCAAAAGTACTTAGAAAGCAACAAAGAAACACTAAGAATGATCAAGAGAAGGAAGCAAGGCTTGATGAATTTGGTGGAGAAGCTGCTGGAATTTATAGTTGTGCAGAATTGGTTAGGTAGGTCCTAAAACGCTGGTGGATCACCCATTTCCAACTCCTTTGATTGACTAAATCATGCTCAAACTGATAGTTGAACACTTCTTCTACACGTATGCATCGGTTGGAACCACCAAAACGCATTGGAAGACGCGTTTCATTAAGGGCAAAGTTGGAAGAAAACCAGGTTTTCTGCAGGCTACCAGGCGCCTGGCGCCTCCAATGATAGTTTTTCCGTCTTTTTGCTTCTTTTGATTAATTTGCACTCCCAAATGGTCCTAAAATGTCATAAATACAATATAAGCCAACCACAAACCATCATATATGAATTTTGCATGAATTGGAACTCAAACGACCGAGAAAAAGTCCGAAACAAAGTTAAAACATAGTAAAAACAGCATCTAAAACCTTCTTTTTACGCATGTAAACAAGCGTAATCAGGGTGGAAGCAGCTGCAACGACGGCCTCGTTGTCTGAGTGCAGCAACGACGATGCCAACTTTGTCTGAGGAAGAAAGCTAGTCTTGTGACATCGGCCAAGGTTCCGACGACGGTGGATAGGGGGTTTCAGTGACAAAGCTAAAGTTTGAAGAAATTCAAAGCTCTGGTGTCATAAAGCTTTGTATAGAAAAGATTTTTCTTATATCTTAAGTGGTGAGTAACACCCATATTTCTACAAGAGGTTTTAACCATATGAACTAAAAAAAAGCAATTAGTTTACAAAATCTTAGCTCACTTCCTAATTTCTAACTGAATTGGTTCACCTTCCGCTTGATTTTCTACAATTTCATTACACACAATTAATATTTCTTTCAACCTCCAATTTCTTTTAAGACATTGTTTTGAAAATCAAATTTTCCTTTTAGAGCCCTTGGACAATGCTATTGAAATAGTTTTTCTAGCTATATTTTCAGATACTCCGCCCATTTCATAAAGTATTCTACTTGGTTTAACAATAGATACCCAATATTCGGGGATCCTTTCCCTGATCCCATACATGTTTCTGTAGGTCTTAGTGTAACAAGTCTATCTGAAAATATACGTACCCATATTTCTTCGCCACGTAGTGCACCTCGTGTCATTGAACGCGGTACTTTGAATATTTCCTTATTAAATTGTATGACTGTGTGCGCTTGTGCACAGATTAGTCTGTATCATCATCCCCGACGCTTAGTCGATCAAACATGCTCCTTCGAACTTTGTCATTTCTAGTCAGATTGATTATGGCATTTGAATTTTGCCTATTGATCTGTGACTTGTTGACATCCTCCATCATTGACATTTTGCCTTTGTAGGATCACAAATGACCGACGGTGGATCTTGCTCAATTTGATGACATTAGGTTCCTTCCAATTGAATCTAACGATTCATGATCTCTACCAGCATCACCAAACTCCTGTTCGTTCCTTCCACCTTCTTCTCCAGTGTGGTTGTCTTTTAACTTACCTCACTTTGGGACAAGGCGAGTTGGACTTTTCTGGAGAAGGCATCTTAGGGCGTGGTTCAATTTGCCCCCAGGTCCCATCCTACTTGGAGGTTGATCACAATTCGATACTTCATCTTCCAAGATTCCATCATGGTTATCTCCACTCTTATACTCATGTCAAATGATAGTCCATGTGTAAAATGGGTTGAGCACTAGTTGTGTCTCTTTTATACAGTGCCAAATGTTGATATAGAAATCTTAAATCCATGCTCCAACGACGAAAGTTCCAGCAAACACCTACACACCAGTGTGGTTTCTAAGCCCAACACACTCTAATGCCTAAGTCAGTAAATGGTTTCATTAAAAGTAGCAAAAAGTAAGGTTTTTAGAAAGTACCTCGCGTCTCAAGCCTTTTCTAAACCTAGTAGGATAATTTCGCTTATAAAACAGTACATCTTGCAATATTTAGAAGTTTAATTAGAACAACCTCATACTCATCGATTTAAAAAAGTGATAATCAAACAAAAAGCTATAAGTTTAATTGCAACAGTCTCATCGATGGAGTCATGATTTTTTTCAAATATTCCAAAATAGAGAAGAAAGTTTGATATGTGCATTTTGTTTGGGTGCGAGAGCGAGGCTTTTGGTCAGCCTTCTCATATTGTGATTCCGTAGAAAAAGAAAGAAAAAGGAACGAAAAGAGAGGTAACGCTGGGAGCGAAAGCACAATAACTTTTCCGGTAAAAAGAGAGAGGTCCAGAAGAGAGGATGACTTCTTCTTCTTCTTCTTCTTCTTCTTTATCTCTCTCCTCCATCTCCATCTCCATTCCCTCTCTCTCTCCTCCCTCTCTTTTCCTCTCCAGATTCATTAACCTTAATCCCTTCTTCTCCCCAAGCCCTAAATTCTCCCTCCACGCTGCTCCTCCCAAGCCCTTTTCCACCCGCCGTCATTCTCTCCATAAAACTCTGGTATGCTAACATCTCTCTCCTCCATTTCTCTCTTTTTGTTTGTTTGTTTTCTATTGCTTGCTCGACTCATGTTGCTGATTGGAACCCTTTTTCCGCGTTTCGTTCTCCATTTTCCTGCAATTATGTTGGTTAGTCTCCACAAATCTCTTGTTAAAGTTAATGACTCTGAATCCGAGTGTTTCGTTATGCCTACGCCTTTTGACATGTTGCGATTCTTCATGCTAAGGGTTTATTGTTTTTCTTCATTTCGAACCATGATGAAATTGTAAAATGGGTTCTGGATATTCGTGGTGTTCTCGGGAATGGAAATATAGGAAGGTTCTTCAATTTGTGAGTATATGGTGAAGTTTTTATATATGTGAAGTGGGTTTTATTTATTTGTGAAGGTGGAGTTCTTTTAATTTTTGGTAAGAAACAATTGCACAGAGACTATGTAAATACAAGAGAGGAGAGGAAAGCAAAAGCCAAGCACCATGTCAAAGGAGATTACATAAGGTTCTTCCAATTGGCTAAAGGAGTGTTAATACTATAATTGTTGAAAGGAGAAGAAAGTTTACACCATAAAAGAGATGAAAAGAAAAAGGATAAAGATTCTGTAAACTAAACAGAATATATTATTTTTTTGTTGAAGATTCTGTTGTTCATTTTAAGCCAAAAGGTCCAAAATAAAACTCACATAATGAAGCCAAAGGACCTTCTTATTTTTTTGAGTTGATGCCCCACCGATATCAAAGGAAATTGGTATTTGTGCCCTTGGGAACTATCAAGTGCTAATTAAAAGTGGAAAGTAAGAAACTTCAGCAATTTCCTGCGAACGGGATAGTTGAGTAAAAGTGCTCCTGTGTCTTTGAATCTTTCTATTAAAGGGTACACCAACCTGGAAAAATCACACGACAAGGGAGGCATTTTTGGATCTTGTCATGGGTGTTTAGACCCTTGTGGTTGTGAACTTTCTTCGGATGGTGGTCTTTCTAAATTATATTGTAAATAAGATATCTCTCCTTCTCCCCCTTGCTCAACAAATGCATAAAGATTGAGCTCAATGATAATTGCCATTAGGATCCATAAGACAAGTCCAATGGCAATGACTGTGAACTAATTAGGTTGGAAATCTGCCTAAATATGAGATAGGGAGGCTCTTCAATCCTTGAGACTTTTTACACGTTATACCAAGATTTCAGCTCCTAGTCGAAGAAATCCACGTGACTATGATGGATGGCACTTTTTGGCTGGACAAAGAAAAATCCTTGGAAATACTTTGGAAACAAGGCACATTGCCCAGCCAGAGATCTTCCCAAAAGTATGCTGAAGAGCCATAAGCCTACTGCCACTTGCATTTTAGAGTAAATGAGGTATTTGTGCTTGAGAAGATATTTTCTAGAGTCTTTTGAAGAGTGAAGAGAGAAAGTATCTGACCTCTTGCCTGTACTGGAAGAGCCAAAATTTGCCTCAACGACCTTCCTCCAAAAGTATGTTTTTTCTTAGTACCCTCCAAAAGTATGTTGAAGCTGCAGTTAGTTTACAATATTTTAAATATATTTTGCTATTTTTCTTTTTGATAAGAAACTATTTCATTGGTTTTTTTTTGTGTTAATATATTTGTCTCTTATCCAAAAGAGGAATTTCTTTGATTGTATGAAATGAAGTTACAAAAGGTGGGTAAAATTCTGATCCAAGGGAACTCAAAAAATTTCTCCAATTAGATAAAAGAGAATGAAAGCTATAGCAGTGGAAAAGGGGTGAGCATTTACACCAAGTAACAACCAAAAAACATTAAAAAAAAAAAAACGTTCATTAGAGCATTCCACATCCTTGAAGATTCTTTGTTTTTTTATCTTGCCAAATGACCCATATAAAAGCTCAAATAAAACTCATCCAAAGCTTTTTTATCCTTGAACGGGAGATTTCCAAGAACGCTTGAGAGGATAATTGAACCATAGTTTGGAAGAGTCATATGGATAACGAAGCTTGATAGAAGACAATCCCAAAAAAAATTCAGTCACAAGAAAATGAAGATGTGTTGTTGTGGTTCTAGATTCTTTTTCCAAAGAGTGCATCATTGTGGGGAGATATTTGTGAAGGGTGGAGTATATCTTGGGTGTTGATGGCTTTGTGGCCAAGTTCCCAGAGAAAGAATTTTATCTCTTTTGGGTCTTTCCAAATGCCATTGAACAATTGGGGGTGATTTTTCAGTGAGAAGATAAAGAAAATCGAAAAACAAGAGAAGAGATGAGAATGAAAAGGGGCACAGTCCTTTTATTTGCCCTGACATTCAGAAAAGCATATATTAGGTTAGAAAAGTAAATCTGAAAAAGGTGGTCATTTGGCCTTGGGGCAGACGTGGGTGCCCCTAGGTATAGAGGAGCCAAGTTCCGACTCTCGGTTATCGGAAAAAAAAAGGCGAAAACTTTTGTAGGTTATATCTATCAATTTCCCATTTATGTGGCCTTAAGGGTAAATTTGATTTTTTAATGGGTAATTGATGGAGTAGATGCCATTATGAAGAGTTTGCACATTGTATAGCAGATGCTTAACATTTATTTTATTCCGAATGTGAGCTGTGAAGATGCAGAAGTACATTAAAAACTCGTTGGATAATGTTCAATGAACCTTCTGTTTGGAAACTTTAAGTTCTCCCTGAGTTAATGTCTAGTTTGCTTCAAGTAGTCTATTATTACTGGGGTACAATAGTCTTCTGATTTCTACAAACTATATTTGCAGTTGAGGGACTTTGAACTTGTTTTATTAGGATTTAGTGGTATCATTGCTCATAAAGCTTTTAAAAGGATTTCATTTATGAAATATCCGTCACGTATAAAAACAAATTATGATATAGACTAGGTTTCTCAAATACTAGTATATTCTTGTTTATTTAAAGGCAAGTATAAAAAATAAAGTCTCTCTGTAGCTCTTTACTGGATTTCTCAGGGAAAATTTAATGACTAAGTTGTTGCTTCATTGAAACTCTAATTGTATGATGATTTTGTTGTTCGGATATTAGATAAATTTCTGGAGTCAGTTAAAAGTTCCAATTAAATGTTCTTGTTAACGATCTTTTCTGTAATTTTTTATTATTTATTTATTATTTTATTTTATTTTTAGGAGAAAGAATGCTTTCATTGAGAAAAATGAAAAGAGTACAAAAGAACGAAAGAGGGCCAACGAAAGGGGCCTACAAAAAGACAGGCATGAGAGAGGAAGTCCTCTAAAGAAAAGGACTCTAATCCAAAAGAATGAAGCCTAATGGATAATTACAAAAGGCCTTAGAAATCGAGCCGCATAACGAAGTATTATATTTAATGAGATCTCATACATAGTACACGTATTTCTCCACCCCCCAAACAGTCTATGATTCCTTTCTGTAAATTGATTGACCTATTTATAAGATACATGAAGCTTTAAAAGAAATTATGCGTGTATAAAGCGAGCTTAGCTTAGTGGTAATTGGAATATACCTCCAATTAAGAGGTCGTGAGTTCGAGTCCCCTCCCCAACATGTTATACTCAAAAAATAAAAAATAAATGGAGTCATGATAATCTCTTCAAATATAATTAATGAATGAAATTACATGAGTAAGGGAAGGAAAGCCTCAGCTCTAGCCTTTTGGATGTTAGGATGAACTCTTCGAAATTTTGAATAAAGAGGAAAGAAAGGGTTTTATTACAAAAAGGGGAGAGATTTACATCATGAGCAAGCACAACCAAAATCAGGTTCTCTAATGAAGTATCAAAATCTTACTGCACATTCAGAATGTGCAGTTTTTTCTTTTCAGCCATATCCCCGAAAGCAGTTTCTTTCTTTTTTTTTTTTAACTATTAACGTCACTTTCTTCTTTATTATTCTTGTTGATTGATGAAGCCGGATAGTCGAGGATTTTACTAGTTGGTATCGTCTGGTTCCAAAGGCTATGTCTGAAAATGTAGGAACTTTATTGATTTACTGAGTGTAGTTCATACAAATATACATCTTATTTGTATGTTTGTGATAGGAATGAGCCTGAGGATAATTAGGGATATTATTTGGGTATTGAGGGTACCTTAGTAATTAGATAAGGAAGTTGTTAGGGAGAGTTGTTATAAATAGAATGGTGTTGTAAGAATGAGGGTATCGAATTGGTAGTATGGTTTAGGCTGTAAGAAGGATGTTAAGTTTTGATTGAAGTAATCTCGAGCATTGTCAGAGCGGAATCGTTTGGGTTTGATCCCGAATTCGTTTTCTATCATATGAAAGAATGTTTGAATGGTAGAACCACCATCGGATTTTTGTTTTAAAAGATAAACCCATGAGACTCGAGTAGTCATCAACTAAGAAGCACGGACACGGATACGGGACACGGACACGGACACGATAGGACACGACGATATGTCAATTACTAAGAAATTAGGACACGGACACGTTGGGATACGTTTTTTTTTTAATTTTTTTTAGGATTTATGTAAATTTAACCCAAAAAATATTAAAAAAGTCCTTGTAAAAGTTTTTTAATATTTTTTTACAGAGACCAAGTCCTTGTAAAAAAAAAGAAAGGGACAGAAACAAAACGCAGGTACTAAGAAAAATAAAGTTTAAATTTAGTGAAATAAAATGGTCAAAATTCAAAAAGCAGTT